CAGCCTCTTGCGCTCCAACAATCTGGGTCCTCATTTTATCCACCTCGGAAAGCTGGAAGGCTGAGGGAGGGTGGGAGGAAAGAAGAGAGGGAGGAGGGAAAGAAGGAAGGAAGGAAGAGCAATAGTACTTAGGCTTATATACCATTTCACAGTGTTTTAAAGCCCCCTCTAAGCGGTTTACAGAGCCAGCCTATTGCTCCCCAAAAATCTGGATCCTCATTTTACTCAGCTCGTCATCCTTCAGCCTGGTAAGCAATAGCAATAGCAGTTAGACTTATGTACCGCTTCATAGGGCTTTCAGCCCTCTCTAAGCGGTTTACAGAGTCAGCATATCGCCCCCAACAAAAATCTGGGTCCTCATTTTACCCAACTCGGAAGGATGGAAGGCTGAGTCAACCCTGAGCCGGTGACATTTGAACAGCCAAATTGCAGAACTGCAGTCAGCTGAAGTAGCCTGCAGTGCTGCATTTAACCACTGCGCCACCTCGGCTCGGTAAGATTCGAACTGCCAAATTGCAGGCAGCTGGCAGTCAGCAGAAGTAGCCTGCAGTCCTGCACTCTGACCACTGCACCATCATGGTTCGGGGACGATCTCTGCCCCCCCACCAACACCGACTGCGACCTGTCCGAGAGGTAGGAGGAGAATCACTGCATGTTAAATAGAAAACACTCTTTAGATAGATTTTTTTTACTCCAAAAGCATTTTATTAAAATAAATTTGATAAAAATAAAAAAAAGATGTGATTTAATTTTTTTTTTAAATCATTTTTTAAATTTTTTATTTTTATTTTTAAAAAACACCAGTTTTTATATCCACCCCGGTTTCTCTCCTGTTTTCCTGCAGGAACAGCTGAATCAACGCTTGGAGCAGCAGGACCAGGCGGTGAAGGCGGCCTCCGAGGAGGCCAGCGAGTTGCTGAAGCGCTTCGATGAGATGAAGGAGCTGAAGCAGCACCAGGAGTACCAGCACCTGCAGCAAGAGATAGAGAACAGGTGAGCCTCTGGCGGCCTCTCCTGCCGGGTCGAGCCCTTCATCGCACCTGGGCTCCTTTTAATCTCGGGACTGTGTGTTTTTCCTTCCAGCTCCAAAGAAGCCCAAGGGCAGCAGGAGAAGCTGAAGGAGGAGCATAGGCGCAGAGCCAAAGTAAGGAAAGCAGCCAGGGAAATTGGCCAGGCGGGGGTGGGGGGTGGGGAGAGGGTCTTGCAGTTTCAACCTTTTTGCCCCTCTTCAGCTGTAAGGATGCTCGGTGTTTCCCACCCAGATCTGAAGAGATTCGCAACCATACACCTCTTCTCTCTCTGCATTTTTCTTTTTGCAATTCTTTTTATTTTTAAACATAGAAAAACAACACAAAGAAAAATTCTCATCCATTACATACAGCATGTGGTTTGGTTACATGTGTTTTTGCATCCATATTCTCAATTACATTTACAATCCCAGATTTTCCATCTAATATAACTAAATACCTCACTTTCATTGTANCCCGAAAATCCATCAGAGCGACTATGTAATTACAACAACGGAAAGAGGGAGAAAGGAGAGGGAAAGAAGAAAGGGAAAAGGAGAGGAAGTAAGGGTGGGGTAGTAAGAGTAGGAGAGAGGGCAGGAAGGGGGGAGAAGAGAGGAGGAGTGGGGGAGACGGAAGGGAAGAAGAAAAGAGAGAAGAGGAGGAAAGAAGAGAGAAAAAGGAGGATGGAAGAAGTAGTAGAGTTGTTGTAAAATAAGATGGATGTACTTATTGGGATGGAAAGAAAACGACCCCGATTATATTTTTAATTTTTGAAATGAATTGTGATAAATGTTAAAGGATAACATAGAAAGATCGACAGTACTTGTGAGAATGTATATTATTTGTGAATGCGTATAATTTGTATATGTATTAAAATATAAATAATTTGTGAATGTATATTAATTGTGAATGATAGATAGATAGATAGATAGATAGATAGATAGATAGATAGATAGATAGATAGGAGAAGGAAAAATAAAGCTTCTTATTTAAAAAGAAAAAAGAACGTTGTGTTTTCGTAGCCCCTAGTGGGAAGTCCAACCTCTCATTTGCCTTTTTCTGTTTCCCATGGTCCCGGAAGAAAGGGAGTCCCGTGAGGAGCAACCCGGAGCCCGTCCCTCTGAGCCCCCCCTCCAAAAGCACAGGAGTTGAAGGCCTCATCCATTTGCACAAGGAGATCCAGAAGCTGAAAGGGAAGGTGAGCGCAACGGCCAGGTGGGCGGAATCGGATGAAGCTTATCTAACTATACAGTGTTGTTTTGAAAGCGGCCAGGGATAATTAGGATTAAGGCCTTCGTGTTTGGTTACCGTCACTGGTTTAAGACCTTTCACTTCAATGGGAGAACAAGGGAGGTTTCCCTCTGAAATGGCAGTGATGGCAACTGGTTAGGGGTCTCAGAATGGGGTCAGTAATTGAGAGGGTCCTCTAGATTGGTTCATACCCATATTTGTTTGGTTGTTGTTGTTGTTCTTCTCTTCCTCCTTCTCCTTCCTCCTCGTTCTCTTCTTTCTCTTTCTTCTTCTCCTTCTTCCTCCTCCTCCTTACTCCTCCTCCTTCTCCTTCTTCCTCCTCCTTCTCCTTCTTTTCTTCCTCCTCCCCCTCCTCTTCCTCCTCCTCCCCCTCCTCCTCTTTCTTCTTTTTCTCCTTCTTCTCCCCCTCCTATCCCTTCATCTTCTTCCCCCTCTTCTTTTCTTCCTTCCTTCTTTCCTTCCTCTTCTATCACTTCAGGTATCAAGGGAGATACAATGCTGTGGCTCTTCTGGCGGTCTCAACCAGTGTTAATTGAAGCTCTTGTTGTGTGTCCTTAATGTAGTCTCTCCATCTTCTTCTGGGGCTGCATCATGTTCTTTGGCTTATCATTATCTCTTTTGGTCAGTAAACATGAAACTCAGTCAACTGAACATTTAAAAATACATCACAAATACCATTGACTGGCTCTGAGGTTGGTACAAGTTGCTGCCAGCATCCTAGGGATCAACCAAGTACCTTCTTAAAATATACGATGTTCCGAGTAGCGCAGTTTTTTGCAGTTCCGCTGGTGTTACTGCAGGAAGCTGTAATTTCCTGATGTATTTTGTAAAATTCTTGGACATGGTGCCAAGTGCCCCGATGACAATGGGTATCACTGTTATATGTTTCATCCATAATCGGGTAGTTTTGATGGCCAGGTCACAATATTTCATCATTTTTTCCAGTTCTTTTTCTTCGACTCTAGCGTCTCCTGGTACAGTGATATCAATAAATTGTATGCTTCGGTTGTTGTTGTTGTTGTTGTTGCTGTTGCTGTTATCTTGCCCTGTATGATATGTCCCAAGTCATCCTTTCCATGTGGGCAAAGCATTATTTGCTGTTTTTATATGTAGTTTAAGATTAGTTCTTGGAGTATTGCCCTCCCTGACGAAGTTTGGATAGCAAGAGCCATAGAACTCAGACTTATATCCCGCTTTAGAGTGCTTCACAGCCCTCTCTAAGTAGTTTACAGAGTCAGCCTCTTGCCCTCAAATAATCTGGGTTCTCATTTGACCGACCTCGGAAGGATGGAAGGCTGAGTTGACCTTGAGCTGGTCAGAATCGAACTGCTGGCAGTGGGCAAAATTAGGCTGTAATACTACATTCTAACCACTGCACCACCACTGGGCTCATATAGAGATAAATAGATGAATGGATGGATGGATGGCAAACTTAGAGATAGATAGATAACAATAGACTTAGATTTATATACCACTTCACACTGCTTTATAGTCCTTTCTAAGAGATGTACAGAGTCAGCCTCTTCCACCCAACAATCTGGATCCTCATTTGACCCACTTCGGAAGGATGGAAAGCTGAGCCAACCTTGAGCTGGTCAGGATCGAACTACTGGCAATAACAGAATTAGGCTGCAGTACTTCATTCCAAACACTGTGACACCACAATCCATCCATCCTTCCTTCCTTCCTTCCTTCCTTCCTTCCTTCCTTCCTTCCTTCCTTCCTTCCTCCTTCCTTCCTTCCTTCCTTGCTTCCTTCCTTCCTTGCTTCCTTGCTTCCTTGCTTCCTCCCACCCTCCCTCCCTCCCTCCCTCTACTTAGACTTATATACTTATAGAGACTTATTCACAGTGCTTTTACAGCCCTCCCTAAGCGGTTTACAGAGTCAGCCTCTTGCGCTCCAACAATCTGGGTCCTCATTTTATCCACCTCGGAAAGCTGGAAGGCTGAGGGAGGGTGGGAGGAAAGAAGAGAGGGAGGAGGGAAAGAAGGAAGGAAGGAAGAGCAATAGTACTTAGGCTTATATACCATTTCACAGTGTTTTAAAGCCCCCTCTAAGCGGTTTACAGAGCCAGCCTATTGCTCCCCAAAAATCTGGATCCTCATTTT